AGAGAATTATTCTATCTTTTGGGATAACAAATTCTTGAATGATTATTGTTAAACACAAGAAACTTAGGCTAAATAGGATATTATGGTGCAAGGCAATATTCCTTCTGTAAAGCTGATTATTACCCACCTTAAAAGAAAGGTTCAAATTACTAGAATGGCCTCCTGATATTAATCCAAGAGTAAATTTGTGATCCATTTTTAAGAGAGATTAGAATGAAAAACAATATTCAAGCAAAGAAGATCTTAGGGGAGCAATAAAACCTATTGTAAAGAAGTTCAAGCTGAAACAATATAAATATTAACAAAATCAATGACTGAAAGACTGATGAAGGTTATAGAATATCAAGGAGCCCATATTAATATGCAAAATAAAATAATTTATTCAACTTTCTGGGATATTTTCTTAATCAAATATATTTTTCAATGGCTTATATTTTATTCATAAAATATCATCTTGCTCTTTGCTTAATAAAAATTGACACCTCCTGCCAAAAGAAAAACAAAACAAATTACTAATATCTTTTAACAAGGATAGATATAAGTTAAAATTCACCTGATATATAAATATATTATAAAAATGTTATCAATATATATTAGTTAATACCAATTTGTGAAAACATTGACTTGCATACTAGAAAATAATATAATAGTCATGTATGTGTGTGTGTGTATATCTGTATCCAAGTTAATTTGCTGTGTGAATGTGGTAGATATATTGCAAAGATAGAGAAAGACAGAAAAAGAATATCTTATACTTATAAACATATTGCATGTGTCTATACTTATGATGAACATATATATACACACGCATGCAAAGAGGGAAGGAATATCCTACAGTAAAGAAAAGAAATCATTTACTTATTCAAACCATTTTAGTCAATCAATCACAAACTGACACTTCATACACATGAAACATCAACTATAATAAATGTAACCTTCTAACTCTTTCTCGTATGGGAACTTTTGTGGAAACAATATTTTCAATGTAGCTGGTAAATTTCCATTTTCTTTTTGTGACAATTTTGTTAATCAAAATCTCCTTGTAAGCAATGGTTTAACAATTATGCACTTGAAATATTTTTTTTTTAATTTTCACTCTCTGTGCATTGTGTGTGTGTGTGTATAAATAAATTTTACAATTCATATTGCTCTTTTCTCACGTTTCAAAATTTAACCACAAGTCATTTTTATTTGTAAAAATTCCAGACATTGTAAAATAGTAAAAACAACAAAATACTTTTTTTTAAGGAAAAAAAAATCTCTTTATTCCATAAATTATTCCAGTTTGTATCTCCATTGTTGTTGTTTCAGTCCATTATTTTTAGTCAAATGTGTTATTTGACCTTTCTCCGGCAGATGAAATGTTTGGTATTCTTTGATAAACAGAATTACTTATTACATCCACAATCTTTTTTTTTTAACCATTCAGAGAGATTCTAAGATAAATCTCTGATTGATGAACTATAAGAACTAGTAAAAGTCTTTTTGAAAGTTTGGATGAGGAGATAAGGAATAAGATTTTACCAAGTTCCTGAAAATGATCAGAGAATAACACCAGCTAAAATGACATTATCAAAACAATAAAAATGGAGATATTGTTTGAATAATTCATGGAATAATGACAATAGTCCAAACAACATTTTTATTTATTTATTTTTTTTTGTATAGATGGAAAAACTAACAGAAAACAATTTTTGTAGACTTTTTGCATTTTTCCTTTCCAGGGTAAAAAAGTAAATCATTACATAATTAGAACAAAATCAATTGTAAAGAAGTTTTCTGTTCAGGCTGAAAAATATACAAAAGTAGATCTGGGAGAAAAAAAAAAAAAACCCCAACCACACATATTCAGCCAATATTTTTTTAAAAATTGTCTAGATATATGAAGAAAGAGGCTAAAAGATCTTTTCTCAATCAAAATCCATAAACAATGTTTGAGACATAATTTCTCAGACTAAAAAAAATTAGTTTCAGAATTTGAATGTTTTTTTCTAAATATAATGTTTTGTGTCATGCTGAATTTTCTTCCCTGTTCATTTTTCTTCTTTTATTAAATATCTTTGCACCAATATTTTGTTATGTCAGAAAAATCATAAACACTTATTAAGAAAATATTAAAGAAGAAAATAAAACAGTAGTTCAAGAAAACTTTTTCATCTTTTCATTTTCCTCTTTTATTCAAGTTCCAATACAATAATGTTTTCCTGTAAAGCACCCAGAATACATTAAAAAGAAAGAAAGGAAAATTCAGGCTTTTATATTATCAGAATTTTTGATCCCTTAGTTATTTACAAAGTTTCCCTTTTTCATTTATTTCTTTTTTTCTTTTTTGTTTAATTACAAGAAACTGAAGAAAAAAAATTGACTAGGAGTGAAACCATGTAACCAACTTGGCATGGTTAATAATAGCCTAGAAATTTGGCATGCACACATACACACCCACAAACATACACACAATTATTTTTATAGTCAGGCAGGAAACTTTTCTGTTTGCTTATAATAATAATAATAATAATAATAATAATATTAATCACCATTTTTACAATTATTTATAAAAAATTTTTTCATTTTTAATGTAATGTTTTAGTCTTGACAACACCACTGCATTTAGTAGTAATTATAGTAGTGTCTGAAATGGTAACAGCAACAACAATAACAGCAGCAGCAACAATGGCAGCGGTGGTGGTATTTTCTGGGGGAAGGTTAACAGGTATTTTTTTTTTATAGTGACAGTACTACTAGCATAGATAGCAGTGTTGTCAGGCTGATTGAGTTTTGACAATGGCTTTAAGTTTACTCTGAGTGTTTCTTGACAACCATGCAAATATATATTAAAAGAAACAAATTTGTACAAAGCCAATGTTTTTCTATTGTGTATACATGCAAATACTTATAATTGACAATGTCTCTCAGTAAATTCCCTTGACATTCAATATTGGCTTAAGGCTCTAAATACATATTTAACCATAATTATCAGCTATATATTTAAAGATTTAAATGTTTTGAATTCATACTTGAGGCAAAGACAATTGAATGTCTGTATTAATACCTATTTGTGGATTGGAACATGGCTTCTCTACCTGTATATTTATCTACATTTAAGTTCATATTTAACAATGCATATTATGTATGCTAGTGTATATACATATATATAGACACATATACACACACACACACACATATATACACACACACATATATACACACACACACACATATATATATATACACACACACACACATATATACATATGTGTATACATATACATACCTACATTTATATACATGTGTGTGTGTGTGTGTGTAAAATTTCAGATAGAGTATATCTGTAAACAGATAATATGAATTAAGACAAAAGGAAAACTTAGCCAATGCATTTTGTTCTCTGAGGGACTTTTATCAAGGCAAATACTAAGATTTTATTTAGTAACACATAAGACAAGAGCAAAAATGTTATTGGTTTTTCAAAATCATCTACATCATCTACTCACTTTCATTTATTAGACATTGAATTGTGTCACTTGGCATCTTCCATAGCTTGCATAAATTTTTCAGATAACCTGATGAATATTTATGACCATTGTTAAATTTAAAAATTTTGAAAAACCAATAACGTTTTTGCTTTATTATATAAATACTTGTTACAAAATAAAATCCTTGCATCTGCCTTGATAAAGTCCCGCGTTGGCTAAGATAAGTTTCCCTTTTGTCTATATATGAGTATGTGTGTGCTCACTGCATGTGTAGGTATATCAACAAGTCCAGAGCCTAAAGATAAGAAAAATGTGTAACAAATATTTTTCAACATTATTTACTTCTTTGTCAATGCACTTAATCTGGTGCAACTTTTTTTAATCCCATAGGTTGAATATTATACAAAGAAAATTTTCAGATCAAAATTCAGTGAATAAATATATCAGACTAAGGACTTCATGATCCACACTTGATATTTGAAGTTTCCCTTGGTGACTATGCATTCAAAGCTTTCTCTTAAACATATTTCTGTGCATGTCAAACATTTTCTTTTGTGTCTAGTGTTTATACTTCAGCATATACATGTAATTACCAAGAATATATAAGTTAATATAATAAACTTCCAGTAAATTAAACCTATTTTGTTAAGTCATAAAATTCTGACTATTGAAAAAAAATCAATTAATTTGCATCTTCTAATTATTTCATGGAAATGCTTATATATATCCAAATGTGTAATTAAGCATAACATTTTATGTATAAATCTATGTTGGCTTTTTCAATAAATATGAGTAATATGTAGTCATATGTGGATGACCATCTTCAGACATATACCTGAGAACCACACTGCATGTATGTCAGCCTGTGTGTGTGTGTGTGTGTGTGTGTATATATATATATATATATATATATATATATATGTATATATAGATAGATAGATAGATAGATAGACAGAAGGTAGTGCATGTATATCGATATGTAGATTAAATAAAAAATTCAAATCTTTTAGATTCATTTCTCTTATTGGTTGCCTATTTTTACAGTTGCTGTCATAATCAATTCTTAAATCCATGAAATCAAACACAAGTTATAACCCAACCCCATAGAAAATGACCAACAGCATTCAAATTCCATCTGATATGCACATCAACTGACCAAGGCTGACCAGCTGAGATAAGTTGTAGTTAGATTAGCTGCAATGGACACCATAAGAGTGGTATTAGTAAAAGCAGCAAAAATTAAGAGTTACTAAGTATAGTTGGTACTATTAACTGTAGCTGTATTATACACAGTAGTGGTGGTGGTAGTAGTAGTAATAATAATAACAACAGTAATAGTCGTTGCTGTTAAAAGCGATAGAATTTTAAGTAATATTTGCTGGAAGTGTTGGTTGGTTGGTGGGTGGGTGGGTGGTTTTGTTGCTGTTTTATTCATTTATTTATTTTCTTATCTCTCTCTCTCTCTCAAATGGAGGCTGCCTTTGGTAGACTTCATTGGTCAGCAGGACTAGTGGCTTGTGCTCAAACTGGCTGGAGTAGTAGGAGTAAAACTGTTTCTTTTGGAACGCTCTTCATTGATGGTCTTGGGGTTCATTCTCATCAAATGGTCCACTCTGGGAGACAGAAAATATTAGGACAAAAAAAAAAAAAATTTAAATAAAAACTTACAAACAAAATGGAAATCCTGAATAATATTTTTTAAAAAATATTTTAAAATTTCCTCTTATCGTTGACTTTGATGATGTTTTAGAAATCATAAACAATGTTAAGAAATTGATTATTATTAACTATTGATTAAGTGTAATTATAATGAATATAAAATACTTTATTTATATTATAAAGCAGGCTAAAGAAACACCAGAATAATTTAGAGTATAAATATACAAATTATTATGCAACATTTAATAAAATATGTAATCAAGCAACATTTTTTTTTTATAAAGTGTTATCACAATATTTTATATAACACAGAAATAATTTCATCACAATGCTTTTGCATTTTTTTCCCCATATTGCAATACATAGATAGTTTAAGAAAAACATCAATCTAAAATATCTTATGTAATTATATAAATAAATTTATGGAAAATACGATGAAAAAAAAGGCAAAGTAAACAAATAATCTTATAGACTTTTAGCCATAAACATATAACTTATCAGCTTATAATAAAGCATAAACAGTTCATTGACATTTGAAAATTTTGCTTTTTAGACATTAAATGATAATTCTGTTTTAAAGTGATAAATTACTATCAATTAGATTCATAATTTTAGAGATGACTAATTTGGCAAAAATTTCTGAAAAAAAAAAAGCAAAAAAAAAGGCAGTTTTAATCCTAACAGCAACATCACTGGAAAAGATTATATAGACTGGAGCTCTCACTTCTTCTTTGTTGCACTCCTGATGAGGTTTGAAATATTTCCATATTGGAATCCTCACCAAACATGTAAGATTTTGTTGACTGATAAAGTACCTTTATTAGATAGATGTATTTGGTGGATTTGAAACTTGGAAGGCAGTTTCTAATGAATGAGAAGAGGAAGTCTCTATTGATGTCGTCATATGCTCCTGACAGGTTAACAAAACAGGTATACAATTTCTTGGAGTTGTTTGATTCATATCTGCCATCCCTTCCCAGAACGAAAACCAAACTGAATTGTGAGGAGTTAAAACAATGAGAGCCTATTTAATATAAGGCTCAGTAATACTTTCACCATAATGAATACAAATGAAATACCTCTGTATGTGTGAAAGTCTTAAGGGTTACCTTTTTGTTTCCATAGTGTGTTAAAGTGTGATAAACCCCATTTTTGGGATGCGTTTCTGATTTCAAACTTCCATAATGAAATTGAGAAACTTGTTATTGAATCCGAAGAGAAATTAAGCTATTTTCAAAAGTTCAGCTTCATTGTTAAGTGATGTTTTATTATTCTTTAATTTTTTTTAATAACTTTCTTAATTTCCTTATCATTAGGTTCATTATTGTTTATGTTTGAAGATAGGCTTTGTAATGATTGGATGTATATTGGTGTATTTTTTATTTTAAGAGTTTAGTGTGAAACTTGAAATGTGACTCAAAGTAAAAAGTCAGCTGAAAGTGAATATATTCCAATTATTCAAAATATATAAAGATCACTTAAAGACTGAGTGTGTCTTATAAAGGATCATCTAATATTATCTTTATTATTGTATCTGTTCACAATCAGGCTATAGAAATTAAATTATAGTAGAGCGATTTCTGTAGAATTGATGCATGAAAACAAAATTTGGAAGAAGAAAATATTCCAGTAGAATGAATTCAAGAATGGACATTCACTTAGAAGCATCAATAAATAGTTGTTTATATAACCTGCTGCGATATCATGGGCAGGATTATAGAATAAATATAAAAACTTCCTGAGAGTTGCAATTAAAAAAAAGATGCAAACAAATTGATAGAAAAATTAATAATAATGATTTGTTTATAGTCTTTTGATCATAGCTTATTTTCTATATTAGCAAGCGAAGTAAAAGTCAGAGGGCAATGTTAAGAAAAGATGAAAGATGTATATCAAGTTTAGGCCCAATGCCTGTTGGTATCAATGGCATTCTGGATCATTTTGGGATTATCCATAACTGTTAAAATCTATTGTATTATATTGTTTGACATAGTATCTGCACTCCATATCTAACCATTATTATATAGCATCTGGTGGTTGAATTCTGACTTCAGAGTTGTCCTTCTCTTAGACTGGTTTCCAAACATGCCTAGAGAACCCAGTTTGTCCTGCTATTTAACCCATAAATGAGGGAGAATTGATGGGTTAATACTTTTCGCAACAGTATTCGTGTGAAAGTGAATGTTACAAATTCAACTGGAATTCAAACTAAGCTCACTAATTTCTCCTTCAAAGCCACTAAAAATTATATTACCTGTATATTCTAATTACAAAATGAATTATTGTTTTCCTCCACAAGAAGAGTCAGAATTTGCAGTGTCATTATTAAAAAAATAATTGTTAAAGGAATGAAACATTTAACATATTTGCTTAAGGTGACACGTTATTTGTAATCAAATGCTGACAACATCTAAACTTGATATACATAGACAAGATTTCAGTTTTCCTTAACACTGCCCACTGACTTCTACTTAGCTTGCTAATGTACAAAGTTATGATCAAAAAAAACTATCAACAAATATTATTAATTTTTCTATCATTTTACTCTTTGCGTTTTTTTTTATATAATATTTATTCTATGCTCATGACATAGAATTGAAGAGAAACAAATAATAGGCATCTGGTGAGATTTGAACTAGTGTCCCTTATTCTTTGGAGTTTGTCTTATCTTGGCAACTTTATACTGATTAACCTACAAAAATTCAGCTAGAAACTTTTCTTCAAATTAGTCACTTCCTTTTATATTTCTATCACTGAGTAGAGAAATTATTCTTCACAAATAATTAAAGATATGAACTTAGTCACATGACAACCTTTTTTTTTGCAAATTATTCTAAAACAATAAATTTTTTTTGTTTCTGTAAAATATTTTCTCATATAGCAGCTAAGGGGGTCATGTGTATGAATGTCAAAAACATTTTTGTTTCTTATTAAAATTCATTGTTGTAACTGGGGCGGGGACCCTGAACATCAAAATTTTAAATAGGACATGGCTTTATTACAACACAAAAATCAATATGAATTCTTATTGGTATGCTAGCCTAATTGCATAAAAGCAAACTGAAAAAATAAATATCTTTTGAATAAACATTATATAGACAATCATCAGACCCCAAGAATGCAGAAGGAAATGTTCATATCAAATGCCAAATGGAAAACTTTAGAATCATTCCTCTAATAAATTCCCAGTTTGGGACTTATAAATTCAGTTTCTTCTTTGCAGGAAAATATTTACATATAATCTTTGTCAAAACATATCTGGTATTGTTCAGACTTGCCTCAGAAGACAATGTGAAAGAAAGAAAAATAAAATATTTGCCGTTGGTCCATTTGACAGACAGAATATAAGTCAATAAATGTGCCTATGATTATTAGTCAAAGGAGAATTTTTTTTAATTTCTATAATAAATATTGAGGAATAGAGAAAGGGTACTTGAGAAAGAAAATTCTTAAAATTAAAAAGAAGGAAACAAAGAAAGTAAATAGAAAAAAAGAGAGAGGAGAGTGAAAGCAGATAATTCCATAGAAAAAGATTATATATATATATATATATATATATATATATATATATAATGATAATAATAACATTGTTATATTTGATAACAAGAAACTTGCTACCATTTCTTGTCCTCTGTGAAAGATCAGTGTCAAAGAGAGAGAGAGGGGGTTTCCATATCAGTAAAAAAAAAAAGACACAAAGAAATAAGACTATATGTGTGAATTTCTGGGATGAAGAGTTATAATTATTCATATCTGGAGTAATGTTCTCATGAGGACATTAGTCCAAATGTAAATAATGTAAATAAAGAATAATAATAAGAATATAGTTCAACTGTCAGTTTCACACTGGGTGATCATCAGGTGGCATAGTGTATCCCCTAGTCCATAAACAATCGGGGGGTTGGTAGGTAACCTAAGATATTTATTCTTATGTTTATGTTTAGAAAGGAATTCAGACATTTTTTTGTTCAAAGACCTTGATTCTAAAGTGTATAATTTTTCTTCTGGGCATAATTCAAAGTTTTTTAGATTCTAACTTGCTTGTATACACTTCCCTTAAAATTCTCCATTTTCACCAGCTGATGTTTCTCTGCTTTTAATTCCCAGAAATAGAAAGCATTACTGCCTTTTCCCAAAAGATGTTTTCTGGTTACTGAATCATTATTTCCATGGACCTTCAGTAGTAGCAATGTATGAAATGTCAAAGTAACCATGACCTTTTACAGTTGCTTGGTAAACTATATTAATAGTTAAACATTTGCTTCCCAGAGGGAAGTGAATTCATATCATGCAGAGACAGTGCTTTGATATTATGCTCTCTTTTTTTATTTGTGAGATTATGTTGATGTGCAGCAATACTTAAATATGTAAAATTATAATGAAATCTAAAATATCATATCAGTTATAATGTAGTTTAGTATTAATGTGATTAATACAGGGATTCTATATGAAATTATTCTGTCTTCTGATAACAAATATTCATATATTCAGCTTTACATTAATTTATTCCGATTCTTTAGATGAAGTGTTGGCCGAAAGAGGTCACCTTAAGGAAAAAAAATGCGGTTTTGTCTTTTCAAAACTATTTACAAGGTCTGTGATATCAAACATTTGTTTATATATATAAGTGGACATTGAAGTCAAAACCCAGAGGTGATAAAGAAAAAAAGATAATCAACCATACCAGAGGTGCCTACATTCACAAATCCCTGACTAAGGAAATAACCATTGTATTAAACACTGATACCACTTGGTACCACACTAACAAGAGTAACCAGGAAGTGTTGAAAATTTCTCTGTCAGACCAAAAAGTCCTCAAAAGAAAACAAAACTCTGAAGTGGCCTAGATCAAGACCTTTTTAGCACCTCACTAGTATATCACATGCATACATTAAAGATGAAGTAAAACACAGTCTAAATGAATGGCAGATACCCAAATGCTGGTGATAGCATG